AGAATCAGCTTGATCTTCCAGGCTTTCCCCTTGAAAGTCTACTAATGGTACCAAATATGTTGGTTGGCTTCTTATTTCATTGACATTGCTCCAGACCTTAACTTCATCCCTACAGGAGTTCCCACACGATATGAACCTGTGCAAGCTGTCTCTTCTGGCCTGCCGGCATGTCCTCCGCCCTTGCGATTTGATCTCTTTAAAATTGATGAGGTTTTCTGCCAAAGGAGAATCATGTAGAAGCCTTCACGCTTTATTTTGTTTCTTCCGAGCCTTGCGGCAGTTGTCATTCCACCAGGGAACACGATGTTTACTGGTGGCACTAGTTTTTGGTATACATTTAGTAGCTTTGTAGAGAGTGAAAGCAGTAAAATACTCTATAGCAGCACTAATATTAAAACAAGGCAAGTCTGCCCACGAGATCTTAGTAGCCTTATAAAAATACTTCTAGCTGGCTTTGTCAAGGAGCCGGGGTGGAGATTCATTTCGCTTTAGTGTTTCAAAAATTATTGGGAAGTGGTCACTCCCATAAGAGTTTTTAACTACTTCCCAGTTAAAATCAAGTGAAATAAATGGAAGAATGATGCTAAGATAAAAGGAACAATATTTGTCGTTTGAGAGGTAAAAAATATGGTTTCTTCTTTGTTTAGCAGACATGCACTTGTGGAAAAAATAAAATTCTCAATGAGCCGGCCTCATGCGTCAATGCGAGAGTCCCCCCACAGGCTGCTGTGAGCATGGAAATAACTGAGAACAAGGTAGGGCTCTGGCAACTCATTCTATAGATGATTGGAATTCATGTTTGCCTAGCTGATAATGTGGGGGTATGTATATTGAGCAAACTTTAATGCGTTTGCTTGAAATTACGACTCCGACAGCTACTGCCTCCAGTGTCGTTCGATGCGGAATGTGTTTACATGCTTCATTTTTATCGGGTATAACTGCAACACCACCAGATGATGCAAGAGCATCCTGGTGGTCCTTGCGAAATGTGAAGTACGGGTGGAAGAAATTTGTGTGTTTTGATTTAGGTGTGCCTCCTGCACACACACAGCACTTTTGGAGAATATTTGCTAAGGGGATCTTATATATCATTAAGATTGTTTAAAAGCCCTCTAGCATTCCATTGTAATATTTTATTCATCTTGGGTGTGTGTATGTGCTGTGTGTCTCACAAAAGAGAAAATTTGCCGGTTTTACAGAGCCTTTGGAAGGCCCTGTAATTATTGTTTTGCCTATTTTGGAGCGGATCGAGAGGCTCTCGCCACTCCTTTAGCACATTCTGCGCCAGTGAGCCAGTGGTGTCCGTCGCCTCTGGAGAGGCGCCAGAAGAACTGGTAAGTAGGGTGGGCTTTGTCATGGTGGACGATACCTTCGCCCCCACCAGGCCAGAGGTCGATGGTACCTTTTTGGCTTATTTGCTGCTTTGGTTGTTGCCAGGGTTCACAGGGGCCTTTGGCGGGGCCGAGCGCAGAGAGGGTGGAGAAACCGGGGATGCTCCGCCCAAGGATGCTGGTGTTGTTTGCCTCAGCATGTTATGCATGGTCTGGGGCATCACTAAAAACCGTAGTGGTGCTGACCCTTCTCGCACCACTTCGGCATAGGATGTGTTCCCTGCGAAATGCGGGGAGACGCGCTGCCTTGCTTCACGAAAGTTGATGTTGAGTTTGATCTTGGTGGTAATTATTCATTTTTCCCTCTTCCAGGGCACAGGACCTGCAATATGCCGAGTGGTCTACATCACAACTTGGGCAGTGAAGTTCGGAATTACATTCATCGTCAGCAGAAGTCTTTTTGGTGCCACATTTCGTCCAGGTAAGCCTAAGCCATATGGCCAAACCACTGGAACTTAAAGCAGCGCCACGAGTTGGGAATTGAAGGTACAACTACTAATTGAGGTAGCCTGTTACTATAATCATTGCGAGTGTTGTAGATGCGAAAGTAAGTATTATGTGCATCGCGTGAATTTCTTTGCTTTCTCTTCTTACAGTTATGCCCTGTACCTGGATTACGCTCTCTTTTTTACAGCATAGAACGAGTTCTTCATCGGACAGGTTCATTAAGTCACCATCTGACATGACACCCTTCACAGTGTTGAGTGTTAAGTGTGGTGTGATGGTGACGGGCTGATCACCAAAAGCTGTCAGGTTCTTTAGCCTCTGGTACTGTAGATGGTCTTTGGGTTCGAGCAGGAGGTCGCCACTGGCCATCTTGATGGCCTTGTAGTCTGTGCCAATGGTTTTCATACGAGGTTTTGATACAAGAAAAGGTGATATGCTTCTGGCTTTCTTTTCCTTGCTCTCACAGTGAATAATGTGGAACTTGGGGAAGTTGTCTTTCTTAGTCGGGAGAACTTCAGAAATAACATCTGTGCGTCACCTCCTGGAAGGGTGATCAGTTAGGTGGGGTTTAAGTGATCCCATGAAAGATGCTGCTTATTTGGCAGTCATGCCAGCCGCTCACCTCCGAGCCACATAAGTGGACGCAACGAGACACAAAGGAAACGTAAGTGCCAGCTGTACATTGCTGTTATTAACTATATATCTACCCAAGATTGGGATTGATTGATTGATATGCAAGGTTTAACGTCCCGAAATCACCATACGATTATGAAAGACGCTGTAATGGAAGGCTCCGGAAATTTTGGCCACCTGGGGTTCTTCAACGTGCCCAAATCTGAGCACACGGGCCTATAGCATTTTCACCTTCATCCAAAACGGAGTTGCCGCAGTCTACCCGAGGTTGAACATTTACACCAGGTTAACTCTTGCCGCCAAGAAATCTAAAGTTGTAGCACTATGGTAGACGCGACAAAAGAAGAAGCAAGCCGTGTGGCTCAAGATGCATGAGCCACGTGCAGATCAGTATGCTCTGGCTCTTGGCCGCACTAGACGCATCAGCCGCAATCGCTTTGATCTTTCTCTTCGCCCGCGTCCCAATAAAAATCTGTGACCACGGCATGGCCTTATCTGCCAGGAGATGATAGGAAAGATCAAAACTATTAGACTAAGACGAAGATGCAGGGAGAGAATGAGAGAAAAGGCAACTGCCGATTTCTCATGGGTGGGTCAGCCCAGAGGTGCCGCCTACGTGAAGCCAGGGCCAAAGGGGTGTGTTGTCGCTGTCTTGAAGGTCCCCTAACACCCCTGGCACTGGCTCAACTCCCAGGATCCCTTTTTCCCCGGACAGACTAAGCCACGCACGGCGAGGGGTGAGAGATGAAAGCCGAACCCCCCCCCCCCCCCCCCCTTCCCGTGCCTCAGGTCCTTGGTGTCTCCACACATCAAGTGCCTGCTTGCGCCGACGCTCATGCGGGTCATGGCAGTAGTTTGGGACATCCAGTTCAAACTGAAGTGCTGTTGCTGTTTTGCTTTTGAAAGTTTCACTTCATTACAGAAAGTGACTATTGAACGGCTTCACTTGTCTTTAGACAGCTTCAACAACTGAGTATTATGGATAAATTAGCTGAGCTTTTGAGATTGCTTCCCATTTTGTACGTTCCTGGGTTTAACTTGAAGATGGGTATAAACAAATCTGTTATAGATTTATGCATTTGGTGCGTGGCTCACATTTATTGACTTAGATTATTAAAAATGAATTAGTAATACCACTGCATGCTGAAAATACAGGCAAGACTTTTAGGATTTTTTTCCCTTTTCCTTTTCTTTAATGCATTCCCCCTAAGTTAAGTGACACTGCAGTCACAGTTTCGGCACGTACATGCTATCTCGCTATACTAAAATGCACTGTCTGCAACGAATGTTTGTGGCACTATAACGCTATTACCTTAACCTTCGCTACCATGCTAATGCTACACTAAAATTGCCTCTTAAGGGGGGAGGTTACTTGGAGACTGAACATTTATATTTTTTCAAGATATCTGAACAAAGCTTTAAGGACACTGTTCACTACACTAAAACTCGAGGAACTGCAAAGTTTCAAGAAGCTGTGTTATTTAGTTCCAGAGTTATTGAAATTGAACTGGGTTGTTCCTGTGGGTGCCTCAGGAAAAGTCTTGAGAAATCCCAGGACATAGTAGAAAGGTGAAATTTATTGTGGATATTCTTGAATAACTATTCTAGGGTACTACAATGTAGTTTTTTTAATTTCGCTCCAAAAAATATTGAGCTTTGAATTCGATGTAGCTAGTAGTTACCACATTCATCAAAACTTAATTGTTTATTATCAATTAATGACATCCATTTTCAAAAAAAAGAAGCTCGTTACACCTTGGCAAAGTCATTCATAAACAGAATAAAAAAAAACGGCACACAAATCTGACGAGTGGCCTTTGAGTTCTGGCTTTCCTCAGACACAACTAGCAAAAAAAATCCATTCGGAGAACACGGGCCTAGAAAGTACGACACTCCTGTTTTTTTTTTTCAGAAAGCTTCAGCTGAATATCTAGAAGTGTCTTGACGCAGTCTTTTGTGCTTTCGTAGCAGAGGCAACTACGGGGCAAGTGCGCGCCATCGGAGGGAGCGACCGCCCTCACTGCTGCGCAGCAGCCAATGGTGGATGCGCTTTCTCCCGTGATATATGAATGCGTTGCTCTAGCTAATCAACGTTTCGCATTGCTTCGCGGGAAAACATAGATAGCATTTCAACCGTGCCGCCGCCATTTTGAAAGATGGCAAATGAGAGAGAAAAAATTTATGCTCAAGACAAAATAGTGCGGGTCGACCGCATGATCTGGGAATGGCGCGCACTTTGGATGCCGCCACGGCCTCAAAATAGCATTTTCTTTTCCCGACTTTGCAGTTGAATTAGGTGATGATAATTACACAATAGGTAGTTTATTAGACAAACAACACAAAAATATGGTTTTTCAAAAGTCGTTTCGCGATTTTTTCGGTTTTCGAGGGCCGCACCTCTCCTTGAATAGCCACAAAAAATTGAAACTGATCTGGATTCTCCACTGGATCATACTTAGCACTTTTGGAAAATAGAATGTTCCAATTTCATTCCAAGCAATGACACTTCTGGAAAACACAAGCGCTCACTGTTAATGGCAGCCACCAGGCGCTCCTCTTGGAACTGGAGCATCTGGTAGATGAAGCCCATGCCTTCTTCACCCACAATGTTCTTGGCTGGCACCCGGACGTCCTCGAAGAAGATCTGTGCTGTGTCCGAGGAGCAGTTGCCAAGCTTTTTGATGCTGCGAGCCACTGTCACACCTGCAAGGAGTTTAAACGGGACGCATAGAAGAATGTGCCATCTCTTTTTAAACGCTAAGAACTGGAATGAAAGTAATTTGCTTGTTGACAAAATCTTGCTGAACTTTCTTTATATATATCCTGAAGTAAGTACATAGCCTATACCCTCGTGGTAATTATTTTATTTGCAGTCAAAACCCTTCAACAGCTCACCAGGTGTCTTAAGAGGCAGGCAGATGAGAGACTTGGTCTTGTGCGGGGGTCCCTCGGTGCGAGTGTTGGCCAGCAGGGCCATCCAATCAGCCTGGCAGCCGTTGGTGATCCACATTTTCCCACCATTGATCACCAAGTCATCGCCCTTTCTGAGAGCGGTCGTCTTGATGCCTGCCAAACAGAGCACATCCAGAAAAAAAAAAAGGATCAGGAAGTGAGATCCTCCATGTCAAAAGTGTGTCGCGGGTTGCTTCGCAGAGTGCCCCGACATGTGTATTTCATACAGCCAACTGCCCCGAGCCAGCTCTGGACACATTGACCAATTGCTCTGACCGGCCAGTTACAGTGCAGCGTTGCTTGTCTAATTGAATGCCTCAACATTACTCTATAAGCCTACACTATCTAAAGTAGAATACTAATGGTATAAGTGAAAACAAATACTTGTCCTATCAGAGCGAAACACATTCTTGAAAAAACCAGGAATGTGAGACAGAGTCAGCACTACACCAAAGCTTGAAAGCACAGTGCAACCTCATATGAACAATTTGATCGATTGATCAAACGATTTTCGATGTGATACAGGTCCCATAAATCTACTAGGCTAATGAGCTGCACAAAAGAAATACAAACAAAAGTGTGCTTTAACCAAGTAGTATTCCACTTAACGGGCCAACAAATACAATCAGACCACAAACTCACTCGCAACGTCTGAGCCACAATCTGGTTCGCTGACACCCACGCATCCAACAATGTCCCCGGCAATCGATGGGGCCAAGAACTGTGCCTTCAGCTCGTCACTGCCAAAACTAACAAACCAGGAAAACGTATAGTCAGTTATTTCACTTTTGCTAAGAGGGGAGAGTAACACTACATCAGGCACGAAAGTAACCCCACTTATTTTTCCTAGATAATTTCCTTGAAGTAAACTGCCTTATACATTGCTCTCCAAAAAAGACCTCCGCTTGAATGACCAAAGCAAAAAACTACAAATGAGCTCCTTCAAATGTCCTCAAAACACCGAGCTCACATAAGGCAACTATATTTGCTCATGTGATTATTTATCCATTCTGGGCAACTTACGATACACACCGCTAAGACAACCATATTTACTTGAAGCATGACTATTTCAGACATGCGTAACTTGGACTTGACTATTTCTACTGTTGTAGTGAGTAACTACTACTACAGTTTCCTGAATAGTAAAATACGAACTGCCTGCTAGATCAAAATATCTATTTACAGTAATTATGAAATATGGTTCAGTAGGAACACTGTTTACAGGTACTCTGCTCACCGTATACTGGATTGTAACAGCACTAGAGACAAGCTGCAACTCTCATAAATGTTGCTAATAAGTGCTGAAATTTTACTTGACAAAATGACTGCAAGATTATGAGGTATGCAATAGTGTAAGGCTCCAGAAACTTCATTAACCTGACATGCGCCAACATTGCACAGTACACAGACCTCTAGCATTTTGCCGCCATCAAAATGCGACCACCATGGCCGGGATTGAACCCGCGACTTTCGGGCAAACAGCCAAGTCTCCCAATCGCTCTAGCACCATGGCGGATCTCGTAAATGTTACTAACGTTTAACGCTCGAAGTAGGACCCCTGGAGAAACACTGGGAAATCACTTATAGCGGTAGAACAGAAAACAATAGCGAACTACGTACTTGGTAAGCGCAGGAGTGCACATGTCCGTGTGAACCAGAATCCCTGAAACGATGCCTCCGCAGTTTATTGCTGACAACTCTTCCGCAAAGGCCACCGTGAAGCTGTAGTCCAGACTGAGACCTCCGTACTCTGAGAAAACGAGGGTCACCCGTTCATCAACAAGTTTACTTATGACACATTCTTAGTTCTGACACTTTGTTCATTCATAGCCTGGTGCTGAACAGCTGCAAGCAAGTGCAGGATGCCCAACAGGATTCATTCGGTTGATCCAATATAAAGAAGCAGTTCATTTTACCAGTAACGAAGGAAGTGACGAGTCCAGCGGTAATTTCAACATACAACTGCAAGAAAATAAAGTCTAGATAACATGCGCAATCCCTTTAGGAATTACATCAGTATGAATAGATTTGCAACATTTAGTAGTCTGCAGCGTTGTTAACACATACCAGAACACTTTAAATGTTACCTTCATTACAGGTGATTTTAGGGATAGCCCCCAAATTAGTGCCAGTATGAGGTGCAGTCAGTGAAAGACATCACAAGGGGGAAAAAACAGTTGTACCAATAAAAAACTGGCCAGGTGAGAACTCTAGTTCTGTGATACGCTTCGCAGGACATTTCAATATTTATTGATAATAAGTGCCTACAATGAGTGTGAAAGCACTTATTACTAATATAATAATTAACACAGCCGAAATGAAGCATTCAAGAAAAAAATTCTAACACTACGCAATACTCATGCCATGTTCTTCAACATACAACTTCAAAGATGCTACCACTCTTGATTGATGTGGTATCTTGAGTGACAACGGTGGGACAGATGGTACAGTTGAACTTATGCATTTGGAGCATAGTGATTGTATGCAGAAACTGAGAAACAGCAGGCATGCAATGTAATTCGCAATGTAACATGTGCAATGCTAGCTGTGTTACAACACACACGCATGTTTTATTAAGCTCAAAGGGGGGTAATGACACAAAACTTTGCAACTGAAATAGCCTCTGTGAACATATTGTTACTGCTCATGTGATTTGGATATGAGCCTCTGGGTGGTGGGGAACAGGCAGATTGGAGAAGAGGATGTTCAGCTAGCGAGACAGGCCTCCAGTGCACGACAACTTCAAGTCTACAGGTACGCCACAGCATAATAAACACATTTCTAAACGTAATAGAGTGGTGGAGGTGCTGGGTACAGCACGTCGACGAACCACGGAGCCACAGCTGTTTGAACTTCGCTGAAGCCATCGTCTTGCCAGTCTGCCACCAACAACAACCGTCATGGCTGATAGCCAAGGTCACGGCTTCTCAACCACGCAACGGTCCGTGCCGGCTGCACCTCGGTATCACTATACGGAACCCTGCTTGTTCGCGAGAAGAGCAAGAGAAAATGTGGATGCGTGGCTGGCACATTACAAAAGGGCGAGCCGGTACAATTGCTCGGGATCCCACTGTCCAACTCGGAAACGTTGCGCTGTTTCTCACGGAAACCGCCTTGATGTGGTACGAAAACCACGAAGATTCTTTAACAACGTGGGGTCGTTGTCACAAACTGACTCCAATTTTCGGAGCATCCTGCGGGCCACACCTACCAAGGAAGGGCGCTTTTGTGTTGGGGGACGACATCCGGCGACTATAACGACCCAGCGTGGCGCCGGCTCGTCTTCCGTGCACCGGTACCGGAAGAGGCACCGGCGATCTAAACAAGGAAAATTACTCCCAGATGAGACGGGAGCACGTGTACGCCCCTGAGGAGGTTTGAACTGCATCGGAAGGGCAGTTGACGTACAGCCAGCAACAAGTGCGGTCGACGGTGTCGCGAGTCTCGCGTAGGCGGCGAGCAGGAGTGACCCGTGCAACGTATTGAGACGGCTGCAATTCCGGGCACCCTCGACGTCTACCAAGCCGGCGAGACCTTCAGCGGCACCCGTCAACTCCCCTACGTGCATCAAGAGCTGGCCTGGTCCGTACTGGAACTTTTTATTGTGACTTTTTTTTAAACTGTTAAATTATTGTAACCAGTCCCTTTTTTTTAAATCTTTGTAGTTGTGTGCGCTGCGACGCACATAGAAACTCAAAAGTGCGACCAATGATCATTCAGTAATTATTTCCTTGTAACCCTCTTTTACGATTTCCATCTTGTTGTTACTTTAGTAATGTTCCGCATATTTGTCTTTTGTCTGTACCTCTTGTAGTGTTCTTTTAGAGCATAGTTTGTTTCATAGTTGTTCTTTGCATCGCGTATCAGTGTTATTCTTCCTCTGTTATTTTTTGTAATATCCTGCCTTTGCCCCTGTTTCAATTAAATGCTTGTTTATGTGTAATCAAACTCCGTGTCTGCTCTATGAGTGCGTCGGTCAGGCCCACACATCACCACACGTGCAACCCCGCACGGGTCGACCAACCCGCAAATAAATTCGAAATGTGCCACTTCGAGGCCTTTTAGGCGTCGCAGGCCGAAGCGTAGAGTGGAAGCCTGCGAGTCTGCCGCACGTCGATGTTGGATCGGCGGGGCCTCACCCGAAGTGTGTGACATTATCTGGCGAAAGATTGCAGGTTCGAGTCCTGTCGCGGACGCCAGATAATGTCACACCCTTCGGGTGAGGCCCCGCCGATCCAACATCGACGTGCGGCAGACTCGCAGGCTTCCACTTTACGCTTCGGCCTGCGACGCCTGAAATGCCTCGAAGTGGCACATTTCGAATTTATTTGCGGGTTGGTCGACCCGTGCGGGGTTGCACGTGTGGTGATGTGTGGGCCTGACCGACGCACTCATAGAGCAGACACGGAGTTTGATTACACATTAACAAGCATTTAATTGAAACAGGGCAAAGGCAGGAGATTACAAAAATAACAAAGGAGGAATAACACTGATACGCGCGATAGAAACAACAGCGATATAACAAAATATGCTAAAAAACACTAACAAAGAGTACAAGACTAAAAGACAAATATGCGGAACATTAATAAAGTAACAACAAGATGAAAATCGTGAAAGAGGGTTACAAAGAAATAATTACTAAGGATCATGATGGCGCTTTTGAATTTCTAACGTGCGACGCAGCGCACACAACTACAAAGATTTAAAAAAAAAGGACTGGTTACAATAATTTAACAGTTTAAAAAAAAGTCACAATAAAAAGTTCCATACGGACCAGGCCAGCTCTTGATGCACGTAGGGGAGTTGACGGGTGCCGCTGAAGGTCTCGCCGGCTTGGTAGACGACAGGGGTGCCCGGAATTGCAGCCGTCTCAATACGTTGCGCGGGTCACTCCATGCTCGTCGCCCACGCGAGACTCGCGACACCGACGACCACACTTGTTGCTGGCTGTACGTCAACTGCCTTTTCCGATGCAGTCCAAACCTTTTCAGGGGCGTACACGTGACCCCGTCTCATCTGGGGGTAATTTTCCTTTTTTAGCCCGCCGGTGCCTCTTTCGGTACAGGTGCAGGGAAGACAAGCCGGCGCCACGCTGGGTCGTTAGTCGCCGGATGTCGTCCCCCGAACACAAAAGCGCCCCTCTTTGGAAGATGGGGCCCGCGGATAATCCGAAAATTGGAGTCGTTTGTGACAGTCGTTTTGCTGAAGAACTCAAAAAAATGCTTCGGTGACCCTGATTCGAAAAAGAAACACACAGAGCGCACGTTAGTTCAAAGAGCCTAGACTCCTGGAGAAACGTGTACGACCTACATAGAGGAGGTTCTGATGCTCTGCAAGATCATAGACCCATATATGTCTGAAGAGGACATGGTCGGACACCTTCTGAAGGGTATAGCAGAGGACGTCTACAATTTTTTGATAGGCAGTGTTATGACCGTCGTCAGTAGGCGCCATGCTGTTGCCGAGAAGCGTAGCCGGGCAGCGTTCCCACGCCTGGAACCCAGTTCTCTCGGAACCAGCATACAGAGATGATGGGGGAGCGGCGCTCTTTTAATCCTCAAACAAGTAGCCGACTGGCCGGCTGCCTATGCCCGCCAGGTATTGTCCCTGCTAGCCGGAGGATGAGACGTCGTGTCGCCATGACGCCGTAAGCCGTTCCAGAGAGGACAACAAAGTCAGCATCTTCCTTGGAAGAAACTGCGGCCGCCGCCACAAATTGCCCTGCTGATTGAGCAAACAAATCGGCGGACTGTTTGATGTATGCTGTCAGGAGCTTGGGACCCCTCGACCAGCGGCACACACACGACGAGGAAGAGCCCCTCTGGCGCCACCTTGCAGTGCAGTGATCACGACTCAATGTTCACGTGGGCGATGTTCACGTGGGCCGTGCATGCTCGTACCCCGTCGCCTGTTGTGTGTGTGTGATTGGTGTTCTACTCAAGAAGGAGGAGCCCGACAGGGCTTATAACGACGCCGCAGAGTGTGGGACGTCGCTCTGAACCATGTAACGGTTCAACCACCACGCTCGTGGTTTGCGTGACTTCTAACCTTTCTATGCTGTAAATAAGTGTAAATAGTGCCATAAACCTGTCTGTTTTTCGTATTCCCATCTTGTGAGCGTTCGTTTCCTCAACCCGAAGCTACATCACGCTATCACAAGAGACCGGGTAGACCCCGAAAAGATTGGTGGGATTCGGAGCGACTACGGGTGAACAGCCCCATAGCCGCAACAACTGGCCCCAGTGGTGGGATCCACGACAACTGGTGGCAGCGATGGGATACGACTCAGCACCGGGAGCCACAACAGCAGGCAAGACCTCACTTCCGTCTTCGCCGTCCAATGTCACTGCCGTACTTTCAAGAAGCTGAAGACCCGTTGTATTGCCCCGAAATTTGGTAGGCTGGCAAATTTAACAACGGTCGCCAGTGTCGATGTGGGCCCAACTTCAGACCTTGTCACTACTATCAGTGCAATAGTGCGCGAGAGCTAAAGCGACAAGACACACTGGTTGACGACACCATCCATCATCCGCCTACCTGTTCATTCAACTAACTGGCGCCGTTTGCTTCTCTGCCACCATCGGTATGTGTGACGGACTTTGGCGAAGCTGGAACTTCCTGACTACGCCGAAACTCATTCGCGCCTGACCAGCGGTATGACCGACGCCTTCGTCCTGGCCCCACACTACAGAGGCGGGCAGTTCCCGTTCAGCAAGCTGCTCCACTCCGTTCGGGTAGGTGACCTTACAC